GGATGGATGGATGGATGGATGGATAAAGAAAGCGGAAACGAGAATTGATAGCCCAATCCTTCTTAAGTTTTAAAATCTACTCTGCCTAAGCTTCTTATATTTATTTTTCATATATTGGTAACAATTTTAAACATAAATATTACCTTTATAATATAATAAAAAGATGACGGATAAACAACTAACAATCAAGAATTATTCTATATCAACAACGACGATTAATATCTATAATTTTCCAAGATTTCTTTTAAAGCAGTATCAAACCACAAAGTATCTATATTAGCTGTAAAAAATTTCAAAACGCAGCCGACTAGCTTGCAGCTATTTTTCAGATATCTTTTGTTATCTTTAATACCGGGCGCCGAAAAAAACAGCTAAACACAATATTGCTTTAACTAAAGTTAAGCTATAAATAAGAGTTAAAATGTTTAAAAAGGTTTGCATTTTCTGTTGCCTGCGCGCTTTGATTTGTCTTAATATATTCATACGATAGTACACGAAAGGATGCTGGCAAATGAGTCCAACGATAGGCCACGTTCTAGCACGATATCCAGGCTCTCCGGAATAAAATGTTCAAAATTGCATTGGATCCAAAAGGATCGGTAGATAAAGTGCTGTAGATTCGATTATTCGTTTCGTTAGGTACGTAGGAACGTCATAAATATGATACATTATTTTATTCCTGCCAATAAATGTATTGAATGATCCACGTGTTTGTACAATACATAAAGTACCTTACAACTTGCAATCCAGTCTGAAGATATCGAACGTGGCTTATTATGGTCTTGGAGTACGGGTGGTCCTACTGATAGGACTAGCTCATTTAATGCGTCCCTGGTGAAGGAAACAAAACACCCGATCCTCTTGTAATATTACTACAGAAAAACATGTTATCAATAAAATAACTTTGGCTCCTTTCCGCGCGAGTCAGCATGATTAGCCTTAAATGATATTAAAAAATGACAGCATAGCGCCAAGTTTTGACGCCAGGAAACTGGCCCTTTTCATAATAGGAAATCGCGCTTCAAAAAGTTTTTTAATACGGCAATTCGATCGACGAATTAATTAAATAATATTCATAAGAAATATATCACTTACAGGAAGCAGTGAGTGGTCCTTATTCAGAGTTTATATGGTCCATATCTGTAGTAACTATCGTTATAGGACAAATATAATAGCGACTCTTTGGTTATATCGAAGTTTGGTGAAAAATATTAATCACGTGATCCGCGTTGCCACAGCGCGCATGCGCTTATATTGGCACGTGTAGATATCTAAAAGCATTCGTTTTATGAGGAAAAGCTTTAAATATTAAGACATCGTGTGCGGTGATATCAAAATCGATAGTGGTGGAAACGTACTAATGAATAAATCAGCGCTAAATCCTTTGAAATTTTATTATCATTCGTACAAGACGGCGATAGAACAAAAGAACTTTCATTGAGATATAAACGGACGATTCCGATTAAGATACTAGATTGAAAACTTAGCGGCAAGTTATGAAAGAGTTGAACAGCATATCTGCGCGGCTGTGTGTTTATATAATTATCATCAATATTTTCTCGTAATGAGAACGGTGTTCTTTGCAACCTAATACTTCAAGGAAATTATAGAATAAACGTAAACTTTGTACAAAGAAAGAAATAATATATCTTAGGATAGGCATCGAAAATTATTTGAACCGATAAAGTTACTACACAAATTGGATTAAAGGACGCACAAAATTCAAATAAAATCGATAAAGCTTTTGCGAGTATTAATATTAGGAGTAAAAGAGTGAATAGACTGTAAAAGACTGAATATGATATGTATCTTAGGTTGAGTCGTTTGATATTGTAAGATGTGCTGAATTAAATGGCTTACAGATGAGCAGTATTAAAAGCCCAGGCTGGTGATAAAGTACAGCTAGATTGATCGTTTAGTTTGTATTAATTACAGTAATGGGATGCGCAGACTTACCGCAAATGCTCGATGTATGAAATACACAAAACATCATTTACAATCAAAATGATAACATTATAAATTTGAAAGCTTTTTGGTTTCCGACGATACGTGCCTTTAAAAAAAAAAAAGAAATCTAAAATAATAAACCTCTTTGTATCGACCTTCCGGTGCAAACTAAACCTTTTTAGACCGACCCGGCTCTGATTGCTAAACCTCTTTATGTCGAGTCGACCCACTTGTTTATCAACTTTGGTTGTTTTGAATTCTATGCGCAACCGGAATGTTATTGGAAATAAAATGGCGCATCGAAGAGAGAGCCCTTCTATGTCTACCCTATGATTTCTAAACCTTACTAAACCTCTGTATGTCGACCCCCGACTTCATGCTATTCCTCGTTATGTGGACCGTCTTGTTTCAAAACCTTTCTATTCCGACTTCCTCTCTAAGACTAAACCTTTCTATGTCGACCTTCTGATTTCTAAACCTTACTAAACCTCTGTATGTCGATCCCCGACTTCATGCTATTCCTCGCTATGTCGACCCTCTGGTTTCTAAACCGCTCTATGTAGATTTTGGTTTTAAAGCTAAACACTTCTTTGTCGACCCTCTATTTATCGACCTTTCCTTCTAAGAACTTTAGTAAAAAAGGTTTCGGGTCTAAACTTCAAGACGTTCAATATAACAAAGATTTCCCTAAAAGATTGCGTATCATAAAAATAGCCTTCCAGCAGTCTAACCGATATTGGGATATTTCTATTCAAAATTTATTCTTCTTCGTATCATTTTGTTGTAGAAATATTTGATGCAATTTTCATAAACATGACAACTCTGTGCTTGTGAGTTGGTTTTTCACTGCCTTCAATCAAACCTAATCAGTCGGTACCTTTCATATTTTTGACTGGCGGCAGCGAAAAACCAAACTACAGCGTACGACTAACACAGAGTTCGCATGCTTATGAAAATTGCGATAAATATTTTTCTCTTTACAAGACGAAATGTAAAGAAATGTAAAATTTCATAAAATGTAAACGTTTTCAGAGCGTAGCCCCTTCATCTGACGTATCATTTTGGAATCACACTGCTAAGGCGGCAAAACGAAATTCGYTAAACTAAATATCATATCACGGGTACAAATCTAATGCACCGGAGAACAACATAATGACGTCATGATAAAATGCCCAAGGTTTTTTTTGAAGATGATGGCAATATTTTGAGTTGATYGCCGCTAAATGTGCACGTACTATAGTATCTGATTTTGGCGCGCACCCTGGGAAATTACCCCACGCGCTAGAAGATTATATATCTGGTATATCTTTACTTTAGACACATTCTTACCACGTTTATCGCGTGGATGGATACAATGATAAGCCAATGGGCAACTTTACTGCTAGTCCACTTTATCTAGTCTATAGGTAGACCAGTAAAATTGAAGGCCGACAGGTCGACCATTGAATTGCCAGTTCGCTCGCAGGTAGACCAGTAAATCTTCAAGCCTGCACAGACAGGCCAGTTGACTACCAAGTTGTTCCAGATCATGTTAGGAATACTCTATTTTGCAGTTCCTTTCAGTGACCATAAATAATAGATTCAAGACGAGGTTGAAGTTTCCGCGCATAGCAAAACTACCCTTTTTATCATGCGCGGTAACTCCAGCCTCGGCTTGGAACTATTATTCGTGGTCACTGAAAGGAATTGCAAAATGGAGTGTTGAAAAAAAAAAGTTGCTTCAGGCCGAACGAAATCCTGGGTCATTAAGAATTTTTTACATATAGCATCACGTGTCGAGGGTTAGTTTTGATACTGGCCAAAGTGGTGGTAGGGGAAAAAACGTGGTCTGCAATCGATATTGTTGAATATATCTTTTTAGAGATCTACCAGTCGAACATATGTCGCACGTATGTTTATTATTTTCTTGAAGTCGTTTTTCTTCGCCAGAACAGTTCCGGTTTTATATGCAATGAAAATCCTATGTTTGCCTATTTCTCTTTGAACCCACTCGTTCTATAGAAATACCTTGCGATCTGTAGTCAATAGAAATGTTAAAGTCTAATGGCCTTCGGTGAAAAATGATTAGATATTGTTGAGGTTTTTTGTCACACTAAACTTTTTCAGCATGTTCTGATCTGGTGACAAAGAGTTGCGATTGTCGTTCACTGGAAATCCTTAGATCGAGTATAATAATCAAGAGAATGCAAAAGCTCATTTCTGGTGCTAAATGATGCCATGGGAAATGGCATTCTGCTGCTTCGGAAAATTAATTTCTTGGCCCGAACTCTTGGCACGTTATGGTTGTTTTTCATCGTAACTTAAAACCACGATTCTCACTCAGGTCTCAAAACGAAAAAACTTATCATCTTAATTTATACTCGAGTTGTCAGCATATATATCATAAACGTCGTGATCAGCGTCACTGAATGAAGGCGCTACTGTTTGGAATATCTAACCCTAAGGATTGCATACATAGTTAAAATAGTGGAATACTGAACTGCACTGAAGCTCACTGTATAAAAAACAAGCATTCGCAATAAAGAGTTTAATCAAACATTTCTGTTCGTCATAGATCGTTGTTGAGATTGTCAGCGTTTTAGGGGATCGATTTTTTCGATGCGCAATATCTTATACGAATGTTTGCTTCTGTACAAGAAAGACATGTTAGAAAACGAAATAACTGTCGACCGCGATGACAGGACAAACCAAAAATCCTTGTACTTCTCAGTAACTGGTGTTTTTATACCTCACGAAGCTGATATTTTAGATGACAGTCATCCACGCTGTTTAATGTCAGTAGTTGACTTAAATCGTCATTTCATTTTGGTTAAAAAGGAAGCGATAGTTGCACAGATAACGACGGAACCATGTACTGGAGCCGGTGATCACACATCTCGTACTGACCCCACAGCCTATTTTTAAGGTGAAATTTAAAAACAGATGTTTATATTTCTTTCTCACTGCCATAAGGAATTACAAGCGCGGATATCATTTTCAGCGAAGAAAGCTCAAGCGAGTTTACCACTTAAGACAAAATCCTTCATTCATTACATCAATTAATCATTTCAAGATCAGAAGCGACAAACATGAAAACATTTTCACAGTGTAAAGATTGTTAGAGTGAAAAATACCTAAATTTTCTAGCGCGTCGAATGAAAATCGTGCCCATTAACTTCAGATATAGCTTACCTATCGTTAAGGATTTTCAAGCTCAATTCGTCGTCAGAAAATGTCTCAAGACACTAATTCTAGCTTTGGTGTTGTCAGTGACTGAGTACACACGAGTATTAAAACAATAGCGAGGGTTTGGTTAATCGAGACGAATTGGGCAGATGACCAATAGGATCTAAGAACAGCTGAAGTCTTGTCTAAGCTCGTCTAGTAACCATTCAAACATTGGTTAGTGATGTCTTGAGTAATGCGCTGTGATTACAGAATAATAATAATAATAATAATAACAATAATAATAATAAATATTATAATAATAATAAATATTATAGTAATAATAAATATTATAATAAACTTTATGTAAGTGTCGAGTAACTTAAGCAATGATATGCTTATTGAGGACACTATAAACTGAATAAAATAGGAAATAATATAAATGAAATCTATATACAAATACGAATATAACTATATATAACTATATAACTAAGAAATACATTAAAAAATAATAAATAAATAAAAATAAATAAAAATAAAACAAAATCGGCTTAAATTCAATAATCCAAACCAAATTAGAAAAATCTTAATTGCAAAAAAATATGGTTAGTTTTCGGTCTTATATATATATTTATATATGTATACTACTTATGATATGTCGTAAATTTAGCTTAGATTTGCATAAAAAGCAATTTGGTCCACACAGAAGTAATTTTTGAGTAAACAATGAGTGAAAACAGAGGCCATTGACCGATAACCGTTACCTTATCATCTTGGTCAGTTTGAGATAACTTAAAACAACCTCTGTTGGGATGGAAGTACTCTCTTATACATAACACATATCGGGTACTATTCAATTTCGTATCCTGAGCGCACAATGCATTGTTTGCAAAAATAAACTTATCCGTTTTCCAAAACCATTTTTTCTTCCGAATTTTAATCTAAATTGTCTTTAAAAAGACATAGAATGAAAAACAATACTTAATAGAACAAATTTAGATCTGGGGAATCTTTGAGTGAAAGCTTTTATTTATCGAGGTAGACTGGAACTGACGATAAACAAGATCGTCACTGATTGGATGAAATAGGATCGAGTAAAACAAAAACATCGGATGTGGACTCCTCCTTCTCATTGAGGCTTTGTCAAAACCCACTCGCCGCTTCCCTTATCGGGGGTAATAACTTTTAATGGCTTCTAAAAAGTGCTTTAATGATAACTAGACATGGTTTAGTCAGTAGTTCAAGCAGTTTGAAAGTGTGGTAAACCAGATACATGCTAATGGTTTGGGGGG